GATTGAACAGTGTGGAAACCAACCATAGGGAGGTCGAAGGATGATGATAATGATAAAATGTAGAACATAGGTGGATGACTTAGGTACTTACTGGAAAAGTACAGGGACGCGACCATTTTTCCATCATCTTTAGCGATTGGTATACAAGTTACATTTGTAGTCTGCGATGAGCTTCAGTTCCAAAAGGCAACTCTTTAAATAAAAGTACACCCGAAAATTAACGGTCTGCTCGATGATGATGGGACGTTACAATTTTGTTTTAAGCGATATTGAATGTAACCATGTATCCCCCACCCCAACGATTGAGATTTTTTATTTAAATCAGTTCTCCCGAAGCAAGTTTATAATACCACTATGATTCAAGGGACTACTGCTAGCGAAAGAGGATGAAAAGACTTTAGAAGGAATTGGAAAACCATTCCTAAACAGGGAACAATGGATAAATTTCAATTCCTGTTTAAAAGAACGAGGTGGAATGTAAACCGGACAATTGGCGAATCTATCTACACTTATTGTTAGAGGGGGGGTCAGAGAACACATGAGCAGCCAGGCTCTGGTTATCTCAAATTTTGGCAGCACGGCCATATCCCGTTTGTCTATGTTTCTGTGGTTGAGGAGATGTTCTAGGTCGTAACTACGAAATGTGTTTTGCTACAGGGTATCCATAAATATGTCTGCGTAGCTGGGGGCCATTTTTGTGCCCATCTTTGGGCATCAGATTTGAAGAAAATGGTAGCTGCTGAAGGTTGTAATGGCTGAGTAGGAATATTATAATGTGGCAGATGTCTAGTATGATAGATTTATGGAAACCATTCGTGTTTAAAAAAAAAAAACGAAAAAAAAAAAAACAGGCCTGTATTCCCTCCTCGTGGAAGATGCTGGAGTATAGGGGTTTCGTATCTACTATCAGAAGTGAATCATTCGGTAATGTGTAAAATTTAAAAAAAAAAAAAATAGGGTTTTGTCTTTGAGGTGACTATGAAAAGGTAAAATTGGCAGACGATCTAAAAAAATGACTTATAATCTATTGTTAACTGAGGCAATGAAAAGCTTGCTAATTTTAACGTCTCGAAAATGAAACTGCTCACTTTTAATCGACTGAGAGAATCCATTTTTGCTTTCCTTCAGCATGACTGATGCTAACCTCCAGGAGGATGACTCGTTGCGTCTTCTAGGGCTAACGTTTCCCGCTGACATAAAGTGAAAAGATTTTAATGAATCAATTGCTAGATCTGCTTCTAGGAAAGTTGGTTCACTGTGTCGTGCTAGACAATCTTTTTCTCGACAGAATCATCTTTTAAAGTCTATTATTCATCCATGCATTGAATATTGCTAGCCACAATATCTGGTGCTTCTGCTATGTATTTACAGATTCTTGATAAATTCTGCAAAAGAAGTACCTGCAATGTTATTTGTCCTGACCGAGCATCTAAGTTGAAGTCACTCCCCCACCCCCGCCGTAACGTAGTTGCCCTGTGATTTTCTATACAAATTTTCATGGTTATTGTTCTGAGGAACATTCCTCTATGTTAACTAGATTTTATGAATTTAAGCGCAGTACTAGTTTGGCGGTAAGGTCTCATCATTTTACAGTTGAATTGGCTAGATGTAACTGTAGGTTCTATCCTAACAGTTTCTTTTCTTACACGTCTAACTTGTAGAACTGACTTCCAGCTTCTTTTTCTACAGTCAATTTTGATCTTCAAAAATTTAATTGCAATGTCAATCGTTATCTTCTGTCTTCTTGATTACTATTGTTTTATTGTTCTCTATTCTTAATAGAGTTATATTCTTTCACACTAAGAAACCCTTTGTGTCTTAGTGGCTTTTAGCCATGCTTGGAGGGAAATGATTAGGGAATGATTAGTAGGTGTTGAACATTTGATGGTCAATGAAATCTGAGATGTACTTCGTCGATTCCGATTCCTGAAACTTAAAGTATTTTTTTAAACATTTTCTGTAGATTTATGGTGAAGTTCTGGACTTAGATGTTGGATACTTTGTGATTAATTTGGGAAGTTTGTGTAATTTAAGGATATTACAGAACGTACCTGATTTAGGCTCTTCAGGAACCAAGAGGCAAGGTGGATAGCGGCTTGGATTGAGGTATCGGAGAGCCGAGTTCGAATTCCAGTCGAATCCATTAGATTCAGTTACGTGCTAACACCCTTGGGAAAGGTGTGAATCCTCTTCTTCTCCCTACAGCTATGGGTAAATAGCAGGGCAGACTGGGTTCTATAGCCTTGAATGGCAACTGGTCTAGGAGAGGGGAAACTCTAAATTCAAAACCTGCGGAGGACCTTGTGGCACCTAGTGCACCAGGTCTCTGTAATCGACCCTTCAAAAAGTGTGGATGGTCCTTCACGAAACCTTGACCACTATAATCAAATCTCATGTGCTGTTGTCTGGCTGTCGGTTTCCTGGGAACTGATCTGAAGCCTATACATACGGGTTTGGGGACCGCTTGTGAATTCCAAATTCCCATGAAACTCCAATATTGGAGCCGGCTCAACCCACCCCGGGTGAATGCCGTTACAAGTACAAGTAAGTAGTAATTTAGGCTTTGGGTTCTGCCTGTATATTATTGTCTAATAACAATCTTAACTGATGGGTTCAACCTTTATCAATCCTACAAATTCTGATAATCTACAATTTCTACAGCCATAAAACAAACCACATCAGCGAGCCTTTTATTGTTTTGCATGAAACAAAAATATAATATAAATTTCACAATACTTTTTTTTGTGTGTTTGAGTGATATTTTTATTCGCTTCAAATAAAAGCCGAATATATTGCTAATGTTTCTTATTTTTGACCATGGTTATTTTGATTTTTCACTGTGTATCAATGACTAGTTTTTGAAGTTATGAAAATATAAGGCATTTTTAAGTCACAATGTTCATTGTTATTGTTATTGCATCGTCATTAAAACAAAAGCGATAGACCAGAGGATAAAGTTTTTGAAACATTATTTTTTCTTACTTCATATTTGTTTCGTTTCTTTATTTCTAAGACCAATATAATGTCGTTATTTCCTCAACTATGAAGGCGCAACGTGAAGCTTCCTGCGCAATTAAAGTTTATTGTCTCGCTATAATCATTTCTATATAGGCTTAGGCTTACACGAGACGACGGAAAAGAACATCCGGCTGGAACCCATACTACTTTGTGGGTTAATGCCCGCTTGTACGTGCATGAGAGTACGCAGACGAAACATATTTATGGTTTGCGTTCATTTCACAGTGGGTATGGAAGAGAAAGAAAGAAAGAGGGAGAGAGAAGAAAAAGACAAAATGTGGAAGAGAAATTATTTGCAAGAAAAAAATACCCTTGAATTGTGGATTGATACTTCTTTCATGTATTTGTTTATGAAGTCGTCGAATCTTCAACCGAATTGAATTGGGCTGTCCAGGCCACTGACGTATTTCGCATAGAAAACGTTAAAATTTCCATTCCTCTCTGCCGTAGCGGTAGAATTTCGGTCGGGTTTCGATCCCGGCTTGAAGCAATTGAACGTCTAGCCACACTGAATATCTGCGATACGGCGAAGCAGTATGCCTGTGGATGACTATATATATATATATATATATATTTGGTAAATGCGAATAGAATAGCCGAAGTCGCTCGGTTATATTCAATATTTTGACAGGTTTTTACAGACTTTGGCCAGAAAGGAAATATCGTACATACTCTGTGTATAAGCCGTCTTTATGTACAGTTCGACCCCTGACATTTTTTTACTTTAATTACCACCCCTCCAGGAAAAAAAAATCTATATATAATCCAAGCGGTTGCCGAAATGCATGATTTTTAACCTCTTCAAAAAAAGATAACCTTTGTATAGCGCGAACCCCTATATTTTGTATAAAAACTGAACTTAAGAATTCACTCTCTAATTGAGTATATACAGTACTGGTACGAATGCAAGAAAAAGTGAATAAAAACCTTTATCCCAGTACTTTGTCTTTAGTAAAAGTGATATTATATATTATTATTTTTTTTTTTACTTATTGGATGCTCGTATTTAAAAAAACACACCTCATTCTTTTCTTTTTTTACTTTAAACAGTGTGTATTACGTATGTCGGCCAGCGTATTCAAGAAATCTCAATAAAGTAAATGTGCTCTCCGACAGGAATTGAACCTGTGTCTCCTGGAGGGCACATTTTCATTACTGAGATCTCTGAAACTTGATATACGCTCAACTCCGTCCATCCAAAATTAGATCCACACACAGCGTGTATACATGACGATATCACTGCAATTGTTCTTAGGAAATCTACTCTGGAACTGGCTCCTGTTCTCTCCAAACATTACACGATTAGACTTGCTGCTTTTTGGAAATCCTCTTCTATGGTTCCTGATTTTACGATCCCGGGTAAATCTTCCGATCCCCTGAATTTTACCTCATTTTAGCAAAGTACTAGAGGCTCTACTCAACTCTAAATTCGTTAAACATCTCACTTCACACAGCCTTTCTTCAAATAAAAAGTATGGCTTTCGTTTCTCTAGGTCAATTGCTGAAATGATAATGGTTATTAGTGAATATGCCTATCAAGCATTAGATAAGCACGTCGAAGTTTGAAGGCTTTCAACAGGGACTAGAATACTGGACCTCCTCAGAAACTTAAGATCTATTACATCTGTAGCCGAATATTTGATAATCCTCTCATTCTTAACAAATGGTGTAATGAGAGTAGTCTAGAACGACCAAGCTTCTAGATCCTTTCACATTAATGCTTGGTTGGTTGGTTGGATCGTTCTTTGTTTATGTTTAGCGGCATGGGTTATTTAATGCCTAAATTTAAATATTTTGTATGGATTTCTTTAGATCATAATGGTTTAGTGATACAAGTCCTACTAATTAATCCATAGCTGGAGGGAGAAGACGTGGATTACTACATTTCCCAATAGTATTTGCGCGTAAGAGAATATAATGAACCCAACTGGAATTGGAATACGGCTTTTCCATTATCCATTACCCCACCTGCAAATCCAAACTTACAGCACCTGGTATTCCCAAGTGCTCACCCATCTATGTACTGACTAGGCTCGACGTTGCCTAACTTCGGTGATTGTACGGGAACCGATGTTTCAGCGTTCACATTAATGCGGGGGTCACCCAAGCTTCTCTCTTTAGACCTACGTTGTCTTTGCCAACGACCCCCCCCCCCACAAACACACGCGCACAAACACACACCTCGGTGTCATCTGTTCCCTAGGGAATTTATACAGTTGGCACAAATATACTCTTGTCTTAAAAGTAAATCCGATGAATTCGACAGCGTAAATCTGGAAGCCTCTCTCGAAAATGAGATCCAATCTGTTGTTAACTCGGGTAAGAAATGATTTGTGGATTTTAAAGCCTGCAAAAGGAAACCGCGTTCTTTTAATCACCGTAGGCAACCATTTTTGCCTACCATTGGCATTGCTAATGCTAAATTCCAGATGAGTAATTCATTGTGCCTTCTTGCGCTCATATTTTTCACAGACATTAAATGGAGTGATTATAATTTTTTTGCCTACCATCAGCATGGCTGGTGCTAAATTCCACAAGAACAGCTCATTGCCCCTTCTTGAGCTCACGTTTCCCACTGAGATCAAGTGCAATGATTATATCATTATTTTGTTTACCATCAGCATAAATGATGCTCAATTCCTGGAAAGCAACTCATTGCCCCTTCTTGAGCTCACGTTTCCCACTGACATCAAGTGCAATGATTATATCATTATTTTGTTTACCATCAGCATGAATGATGCTCAATTCCTGGAAAGCAACTCATTGCCCCTTCTTGAGCTCACGTTTCCCACTGAGATCAAGTGCAATGATTATATCATTATTTTGTTTACCATCAGCATGAATGATGCTCAATTCCTGGAAAGCAACTCATTGCCCCTTCTTGAGCTCACGTTTCCTACTGACATCAAGTGCAATGATTATATCATTATTTTGTTTACCATCATCAGCATGAATGATGCTCAATTCCTGGAAAGCAACTCATTGCCCCTTTTTGAGCTCACGTTTCTCACTGACATCAAGTGCAATGATTATATCATTATTTTGTTTACCATCAGCATGAATGATGCTCAATTCCTGGAAAGCAACTCATTGCCCTTCTTGAGCTCACGTTTCTCACTGACATCAAGTGCAATGATTATATCATGATTTTGTTTACCATCAGCATGAATGATGCTCAATTCCTGGAAAGCAACTCATTGCCCCTTCTTGAGCTCACGTTTCTCACTGACATCAAGTGCAATGATTATATCATGATTTTGTTTACCATCAGCATGAATGATGCTCAATTCCTGGAAAGCAACTCATTGCCCCTTCTTGAGCTCACGTTTCCCACTGACATCAAGTGCAATTATTATATCATGATTTTGTTTACCATCAGCATAAATGATGCTCAATTCCTGGAAAGCATCTCATTGCGACTCCTGGGCTCACGTTTTCCACTGACATGAAGTAGAGTGATTATGTTGAATCAATTGCTAGGTTTGCTGAGTTCCAGACAATTCTTCTTGCTAGAATCCAACTTGTATATTTTTAGATATACCATGCGTCGTGCCTTGAATATTGGTGACATATCTGAATAGGCGCTTCTGTTATATATCTCTAGATATTTGTCGAAGTCAATAGAAGGGTATTGAATGATAAGGCATGGCATTTGGACCTTCTTGATTTTCTCACAGTCTTATCGTGGATTCGCTCAACTTTTCTACAAATATCTTCATGTCAATTGTTCTAATGATCTCTCCTTGGTACCTCTACCGCATGGATTTTAAAGGCCTTACTAAATTGGCATTTAGGTCTCATCATTTTGCCGTTGAAATAGCTGGATTTAACCATAAGTCGTTTCTTTTCTCGCACTTCTCGCTCGTGGAATTCTCTTTCGGTTTATTGCTTTTCAGCTACATACGAACTTCAAACATTTGAATGCAATAAAATCGCCATCTTCTGTCTGCTTGAAACCCGTTCTTTTATGGACCTATCTTCTCACTAATGTTTTCTTATTGTCTTTCACTCACAGCAACACCTTGTGTCTTAGTGGCATTATTGCCTTGAGTGAAATAATTGAAGAGAAATTCACTGAAAATCCAGAAACGACTGTTAGAGGTAATGCACTTAGGTATGTGTTACTGAAAATAGAGTTATCCATACAGAATGTAAATATATATATATATATATATATATATATATATATATATATATATATATATATATGCAATCCCGTAATAAAAATGAAATCCTAATATATATATACATGACATCAACTCCACGACCAAATATGAGAGAACAAAAAATTTTGGAAATATTAAATTTCAATTTCATATTGCTGCCACGTCAATAGCGGCGCTCCTGTTATATTTACAGATCCTTGATAAAATCCAAAGAAGAATCTGTAATTTTATTGATCCTGACCTGGCATCTCGGCTTCAGTCTCTTTCCAGTGGCCGTAACGTAACTTCCCTGTGCTTCTTCTATAAATACTTTCATGGTAATTGTTCTTATGAACTTTCTTCTATGGTACCCAGACTTTATGGATTTAAGCGCGGTACTAGGTTGGAGGCAACGTTTCATCCTTTTACAGCTGAAATGGCTAGCTATAACCGTATGTTCTATATTAACAGTTTCTTCTATCGCAATTCTCGCTTGTGGAACTCTCTTCCAGCTTCTTACTTCTCTGTCAACTTTGATCTTCAAAAGTTTAAATGCAATGTCATTCGTTATCACCCGTCTTTAATCTCTGTTATTTTTCTTCTCTTCTTTTAGTATTTTTTTCTCATATTCGCTAACAACCAGAAACCCCCTTGCGTCTTAGTGACTTTATTGCCTTGCCCGGAGTGAAATGATTAAAAAAAAGCAATGCAAAATGTCTTTAAAAATTCATAGACATAAAGGCGTATTTAAGTACTTTGACGAAGTGTAATTGTTAGGAAGCTGATTTTGCTGGATAAATTACTATCTAATTAATAAAAAACTTTAAACTATTATCTAATTAAGAAAGTATGAAATAAAAAATACGTATTACATAATTGCTGAATTAAAATGTTAAGTACTAGTTAAAAACGAAAAACCGCGTTCTCTTACTTTGCAAAAATTTTCAATTTTGATCATCCATCGTAATCTGTCATTCCCTCGTCACAATCGATTTCTTTGATAAATTCAGACACATCTTTAAGAAATGTTTGGATACAAATTTTTATGCTATAAGTAAGTACTGTTTGTTTCATATCAGATTAATTTAACTTTAAATTTTCTCATTTTACTCAAATAACGTGTCAAAATTATATAAATTTATTTTAGGAAGAAATTTAAAATCAAAATTTTGTTTGTTTACAAATTTTTTAAAATTTAAGAAAATGGCCGCTTTTAAGAAAATTAAACAAAAATCAAGCATATATTTGACATTCCAATCTATATAATTTCTGTCTGAAAGACACCAGAATATGTTACTTGCTGTAAGTAATAAATTTAAGGCTTTAGCTTTCAATTAATAACAACATATTGAGACAAAACTTTGTTTTTGTTGATTTATGAGCCTTTTTTTTTAATCGTGATACGCTGCTTTTTTACGTGACCTAATGGAGGAACCTAGAGTGTGTTCGTTGAACATTAAGTGCTGCATGCTTTTATTGTTGTGTCTCGACTACGCTATGCTTTGAAAATCTCCATAAACACGTATTTTAAGCCCAAAAATGTGCAATAGAAAAGCAAATGTGTGAAGTTTTAATTAAACAGTAACAATTATACTGATTAACAATATTATGTTTTTGTGATTATGATTACTGCTGAGTTGGTTGTTGTCTTTGATATTATCGTTAAGTGTCGTTGTTGTCCGTTTTATTGCTTTTATTGTTGTTGTTGGCATTGTTATTACTTTTATTGTTGTTGTTATTGCTATCGCTTTCATTGTTGTTGCTGCCCTTAGTATTGTTTTAGTTTTATTTTTGTCGTTGTTTCAACGGCAAAGAATTTCGGCAAAAAATATTTTCAGTTTACACAAACAAACACTGTCTCGGAATTTTAATTATGTTTAATATTTGCCTGAGAAGATCATTAATAGACTGTATAATTTAATGAAAGCACGTCGAGTTCAAGGTTGCTTCAATTATTTCGTGTAGTAAAATTTTCCGTTATTTTCGCTCTTTGGTTTAACTGTGATAACATGTTCATGCAATCCTAAAGTACAGAAGAGAAAATGAAAAAAATAAAAAAAAAATAAAACAACGGAAATATCAGGCTGAGAAGAAAAAGAATATATATTTGTCAGCTTAACAAAATGGCTTCTGCTTTTGAAGAAACGACAAGAATGTGTTTAAATTCAAGAATTCGTGATTTATTAAACATAGGAAATTACAAAATAAAGCTGTGTGGAAAAAATGTCTAGGAACGCTATCTATGACAGCAATAAAAATTATTCAAGTGTCTCAACTACGTGATATATATATATATATATATATATATATAAAATAAAAAATATGGTTTTATTGCATGGTATATTTATGAGTTAAAGTGCTCAATATCAGTCATAGAGCGTATGTAAATATACAAGTGTACATCTAGTTTGAAGATTACTTTTAAGCATGAAATAGACTAACGCCGCTGGGTGTTGGTCTCAATTCAATTCATATATATATATATATATATATATATATATGTAAAAATGGTGTTTCATTAACACGGATTATATATAAGGGTGTTTCATTAAGACGGATCAAAGTCAGCAGTAAATAAATCCGTGTTATTAATGAAAAATTATTTATTTCTCTATTGGATCATGTTATTTAAGTCATGGAAATTTTGTGGGAAAAATAACATCGCCCAAATGTCCGCCAACTCTGAAAGAAAAAGAAAAAATCATTAAACGCTGAACTTTAATTCACATTTAGAATCGGTCCAAGTTATTTTTGGAACACCCTTTATATATATATCTATATATATATATATATATATATATATATATATGTGTGTGTGTGTGTGTGTGTGTGTGTGTGTGTGTGTGTAAACAAACTGAGAGTGGACAGCAGGTGCCCACTTCACACACACACACACACACACACACGTGAACGCAATCTTTAGGCTATATTTATATTT